TATCGTGGTTAGAACCCCGACGGGAAACTCGCCCTTCGCGTTGGTATATGAGTGCGCGTATTCATGTCAAGATGCACGACGTTATCGTGGTTAGAACCCCGACGGGAAACTCGCCCTTCGCGTTGGTATATGAGTGCGCGTATTCATGTCAAGATGCACGACGTTATCGTGGTTAGAACCCCGACGGGAAACTCGCCCTTCGCGTTGGTATATGAGTGCGCGTATTCATGTCAAGATGCACGACGTCGCATTAGAATGCTAAGCACGAAGCATAATTATAGGTTGATAAGCTGAATTTCATATCGTGGTTAGAACCCCGACGGGAAACTCGCCCTTCGCGTTGGTATATGAGTGCGCGTATTCATGTCAAGATGCACGACGTCGCATTAGAATGCTAAGCACGAAGCATAATTATAGGTTGATAAGCTGAATTTCAAGTGTGATTTGACTTAATATGCTTCGTTGTACCTCAAATCGATGTCATCCAGCTTGTTCAATATAATCTTGAACAAAATTTATGTTTAAGCCTTTTTTCCTTTCTTGAGATATCAATTGTTAAAATAGAATTCCATGACATCATCAAAGTTGGTAAAAGTTGAAATTAAGGTATTAAAGTGCAGATATATAATTTTACTCAGTAAGCACTGATATACCGTCACTTATTTTCCGTAACATTAATATATCCTAAGTTGTTTAAAATTGGCGTGTTAGCGTTCTCAATCATGCAAATGTGAAAATTTTTACTTGAATGCTTCTTATGATGCTTATAGTCTAATTATAGAGTTTTTTAAAGTTATTAAAATATGTTAAATTTATCATTAAACCTAGCAAAATTATATTTGAAACTTATCTTAATTTTACTTTAAATTAGAGTTCGGATGTTCTTTTATTCCAAAAGGTTCGATCAAAATTCTTGGGGGGCCTTGGAAACCACCCGTCTAACCTTCTTATACACGGGTCGGGTTCGACCGTTACTTATGTTGTAAAACCCGACCCGGCAGCCCAATGCCATGGGGGTAGTTGAGTTGGGGGGCATTTAAGCACGGGGAAGTAACAGAAGAAAGTCTGCGGAGAAAAAAGAAAACAGAGAGGAGGAAAACATCGGCCTGCAAAAGAAAGGTAATTTTCGCCTTTCCGCTTTCAGTTATTTTTAGGGTTTTTATTTATTGTTATAATCAAGTTTTAAAACCCATAAAATCCCCAAATTTACGGTATCGCTTGATTAATAGATGCTTGGGATTTAAAGTTTTTAAGTTTTTAATAAATTCTTGTGAGTTGACGATTGGGAATATTGAACACCCATTCCGTTCTCAGTTAAAGAGTAAATTAGTGGTTTATCAAAAAAGTTGCAGTAGTAACCTAGTTGTTTCCTCCTGGCTACTTTAAATTTCGAGGTAGTTGGGTTTAGTGATTTCTATTAGTTTTTTTTTGTTCAACTTATCAACGTTTCAGATTTTATAGAAGAAAAGGAGAAAAGCTTCGAAATGTTTTGTTTTACTATTATAAGTTAGTAAATACTAGGCATTGGCATGCTCACCGCATGCGCGATAAACCGTTTGAGAAAGCATGGACTTGAAATGTATTCACGAAGACGAGGCTGACCTTAAAAAGAAAAATCAACAACTCAATGAATGTTATGGATACTTTGAAGAGATGTAACATTAATATCGCTTCTTATTCTCTTCTAGTACATCGAGAAATTTGGAGCAGAAAAAACTCCACAAACCAAAATTTAGATAATTTTAAACCGCAATAATTGAAAAGTGCTCATTACTAGAATTTGAACCTAGGATAAATCATACGTGTAATAGACACTATTCAATTGAACAAGAAATTTGAAACAATCTAACTATATTACTTCAACATATTGCTAGTATTCCGGTGCACGTGATGCGTGCTTGAGGAAGAATATCGATTGTTGCTAGGTTTTATTTCAGATATCCAATTGTAAAATAATTTCCCTTGATTTTTCCATGAGTGAGGTCATTTCTATTTAAATTAACTTTTGACTTTAAAATTTCTTTTTATATAATTTTCTTTAAATTTACATCCAAATCTATCCTTGTTTGATATCCAAATTTGGTTCCTTTTCTCTTCTAGAGAAGAAGGAAATTTATGATTTTGAAGGAATTAAATAAATTGATGGTAAAATACAATGTTGAAAATAGCGATAACGCGTAGCGTAATGCTCACCTCCGGTTAACGTAAAATTTAAAATAGCGTAACTCTTAACGTAGGTTAAATAATTTATTATTATTTAAATATTTTATAGATACATAATATTCAAAATCAAATAATATAAATAATCATCACAATTTTCAAACATATCATAAAAATATTATCACAAATCAATATATCATCAAAATTTCACAACAAAATCAACCATGAGTAAGTTAAATGAACTTAAATCAGTATTCAAGATCGTACATTGATGATTCCAGAAGTCAAACAGCCTCCAACTGGGCGTGAAGAGTTCAGAAGTCGATCGGGGATCTCTGGGAGCAGCGGAGATGATGACGAGGATGAAGACGAGGATGGCGAGACGGAGGAAGTTTTTTTTTGAATCTGGAGAGGAAGAAGTGACGGGAGCAAGGATTTAGGGTTTAGACGCGGGGTCCACCCACTTAAACTCAATCATAGCCATCAAATTCTTTTAAAAATCAATCCCAGCTCTTGAACAATTTAACCTAAGGTACGGAGCGCTATGAAGACGCGTTACAAAGCATACGCTATGGATAAAATAGTGTACGTTATTTTGTTTCTGCACTATTCAGTAGCGCTACGTAGCGACAGGGCGACGTTATGTTACGCTATACGTTATTTTACACTACGAAACACGTTATTTTCTACACTGTTGAAATGTTAATTTATGGCCTTAGATTAATCACCAACTCTCCAGGAGTTAAGAAATTGAACAGAAAAACTATCAGAAGGAAAATTTTGAGGTAACTCATATAAATTAAGGGGTTGAATAGAAATTTCAAAATTTTGTTGGACTAATTAAAAGATACAAAAAATTAAGGTATCGATCTCTAAAGATCCTTCTTTACAGAAAGTGTTGGACTAATTAAAAGATACAAAAAATTAAGGTATCGATCTCTAAAGATCCTTCTTTACAGAAAGTGCAGCTAGCCAGAAAGCCCAAAAAATCTATTTAAGGTATCGATCTCTAAAGATCCTTCTTTACAGAAAGTGCAGCTAGCCAGAAAGCCCAAAAAATCTATTTTTGTCTTCTTTGGTTTAGTGCCTTTTCTTTTTTTAATGAATTTTCAAAAAAATTCAGCGATGTAAGGACTATGATCAGGAAACAAAGCATGATTACACCAACCTAAGCAATGTAATTATGTTGAAAAAGATCCTCAATGTTCTAAAAAAGGAAACAAAACCATTTTCAGGAAGAGTTGTTCAAAGAACCAAATAGCAAAAAGAAAAAAAGTAGTGCTCCTTCTATTTTAATTCATTAAAACAAATGATGCAAGATGAAATTGTTGGATAGGCTTTAGCTTCCTCTTCAAGCTTGCTTTGTAATGCTCAATTGAGTTTCTGCTTCAATGATTGTTGGAATTAGGGGTAAAGCAGTTCTATTTGAGGGAATTATGCCAATCAACATGAAGGCAACAAAAGTAACTGTCGATTAACGTTGTGGGAATTATGAGTAAGTTACAACTCGAGTACGTTGTAAACAAAAGATAACTGCCCATCTACTATTTGGCTTCTTCAGTTCAATTGAATATTCCACAACTTCACCCATTTTGCCATTAGAAAAAAACTTTATGTTTATCAAAAAAAGAATTGTAAGTTATGGGACATGTCTGGGATTTTCTGAAACTGTGACTTACAAAAGGTATAAAACTGAAAGTTGGAACCAAAACCTGGTCGTTTCTTAATAATAGTAATAGATAGATGAGAACTTAGCCATCAATATGTCTAACCTTCGTCATTAAGTTCGATGCACAATATGTTTAAATATTATTTAGGCAATGTATATACGCATTTGCTATCTATAGGGCCAGACAGTTTTCTAGAAACAAAATTAAAGTTTGTTTCTGTCACGCCCCGAACTACAGCAAAATTTTATAAATATGGACTTTGCGACAGCAACGACCTATGCACAATACAAGTTCCGTGCACAAGTCAAACCTGACACTTCATATAACCTATGAAGCACGAACACGCATAACATGAAGCCGTGTCGTGTCGTGTCCGTGTCGGACACACGTGTCGAACACACGTATCCTATATATTTTTTAGGATTTGCCTCGTGTCGGCGTGTCGGATGGCCGTGTCGGATCCGTGTCCGTGCTACATAGCATATAACATAGCTATCTCAAAATATACATATATCTGCTTATGATAGTAGCTCGAAACAAACTGTATATACATATATATACTCGTTAGTTACATTCCACAACCCTATCGTTACAATTATTTTACAACGCAAAACACTCTTTTTGCTGAACATAACACCACTGGAGTTGTGTTTTTCATATAAGCACTTCTTTACAATGCCCACAACCAAAAAATTAGGATTATTACATCGCTATCTTGGATCTGGAAAAAAATGGAAAAACAACGGGTGAGTTCAAGCTCAGTGAAAACATTTTCTACTAGAGTTCCTAAATATCTAACAAAATAAAAATAATAATTCCCAAAAATATTGAATTATAAGCTTAGCACATGATATTTCAAAAATGGCAAAACATGGTCCAAAATAATATATTATTGTTATATTCAAGAAAGAAAGCGCAAGTTGAATATATCGTACATAATTTAGAATCAAAATCACTTTAAAAAATATGTAATTATTAAGAAGAAAAATAAACTATTAAACTTGGCAAAATCAAAGTATTATCGAATCCTTGTTGCCACATTCACCTGGTCCCTCTGGCTTTAGGGGGTGGGGGGGACCCGGGGTTTACTTGGTCAGTAGCGGTTGGTTCGCGTCTCGCCCGGTCCACACACCGCTCGCCCATGTGCTGGGGATGAGCCCCCTGGTACTTAAGGGGTAGCTCCTTGCGGATTGTTGGGGACTGGGGGGATTCGAACCGGGGTGCGGCGGACTCCAAAGGGAGTTTAAGTGGAGGTACTGACCAAGGTTCCCTTGTCAACAAAAAAAAATCAAAGTATTATTATTTTTTTAGAATCACAGTCAAATCTCATAATCTCAAATCTCGGTGAGATCTACATAAAATGCAAGAATCACCTCATAGATCACACTTAGGCTACGAATTTTAGCCCAGTAGTATGGGAATGCCAAAAGGCATCACATAATACATAGTTTTCGGGAACAGAATGCACATAACTTTAACGTAAGCTGCCGGCCACATCACAAATGCCAAAAGGCCACATCACAAAGCCCATAACGGGCCACATAAAGGTACATTCTAACCATACGACAAGCACAAACATATGACTTCATAGTGGACTTTCTGAGGGGTTTTAAAAACATCAAGAACCACTTGTCAAATAACTTGATTTTTTTTTTTGAAACACGTCTCTTGACACATTATTTGATTTCAACAACATCACTTACCAAATTACTAAATTTCAAGCACTTTCCAAATTAAGTGAGCAAGAGTAAACTCATTGTATCAATGGAAATGGTGCAACAAATTAACTTTATTTACTTTTATTCCAAATATCAAATAACAAAAAATCTATTGAACTCATTAAACCACTAAAGCATAATTAAACCACTTATTTCTTTGATAACCTTCAAATAAATCAATATTCCTAGTTATTTGGGATCGCTGAGAATCATAATCACTTGTCACATTTAAATAAAATCAAATTTATTTTTAATGTCTCATAAGAAATCAAAATCGTATTATGAGTTAGGCCACGATAGAATCGATCAAATCATATATCATTTTCTATACATAAGCAAAGTAGAATAATTATTTTTCAATCACAAGATCAATCCATTATAATATGCATAGAATTTTATGTTATAAAATAAATCCTAGTGAGAAATAAACTCACAACATGACTTCCTCAATATTTCTCCTTCTGATATCAACCTGATCCTATAATATAAATATATAAGACTAATATTAATTCAAGACAAATGCATATTATAGGATAATTACTGCAAAATTTAGAATCAATCAGATCAATAATAGTTTTTCTATAAATAGGTTCCATGTAGGTTTCTTTTCTAATTTTAGCAATTTACTCAGCTTAATTCCTAACTAAGTTTGAATTTACTGAACAATAGGGTCCTCATGAATATCTACATTCCTTTTTATCTTTTGGACCTATATATAAACTAATAATCTTTTAGGGTCCCAAAAATTTTTTGTCATTTTAATTTAGTTTAGTCATTCACTCTCCTCTATCCCTTCTTCTTCCCGATTCCTCTTCCCCTTCATTCTCTTTTTTTTCTTTCGGTTTTCTTCTTCTCCTCTCTCTCTCTCTCTCTCTCTCTCTCTCTCTTTCTTCTTTGCGGTTGCACAGGAGCAGGCGCGAATCCTCCACGGTTGGCGGTGAGGCTTGTCGGTCATCGGGGTCGACGGCGAGATCCTCGCCGGCGATGGTAGGTGTTCTTTTCTTTTTTTTCGAATTTCTTAAGAAATCAGATACATGAACCCCTTAAAATTGAGGAAAATCAATGAAGAGAAGGGTTTATACCTTGAGTCGAGTTGAATTTAGGGTGGGATTCCTTTTTTTCCTTTCCTTTTCGCTATCTTCTTCTTTCTCTTTTCTTCCCCCTTAATTTCCCCCCTTTTCCCCCTCTTTATCCTCTCTCGAGGCGGTGCACAAACACCGACGTTGTGAGGCGTTGGGGGAACAGGGATTTTTTTATCTTATTATTATTATTATTTAGGGTTATTACAGTTTCGACCTTCAAAAATTCATGATGTGTCACCTAACTAGGAAATCCACTCACTGATGTTGTTATCGTTCCATAAAATGTATATGGTCAAAAGCTTATGCATTCAATAATCTCTTAATCTTATCCTTCTAATGTTCCTTTCGTTCTATAGTATTCACCCTTCAGTTTGTATCCATTCGATGAATGAGTTAGAAATCTACGACCACATTATTCTTCGTCTACATGTATTTATGGTGTAAAAATTGAGATGAACGGTGTGGATCATCCATTAGGATGACTCGCCAAATTCACCTACATGCTTTACATTTTCTAATTGGACCTTACATCCCAGTGTTCCTGCATTGTTGCATTCCATGGCCATTTTCATTACATCCAAAAATCTTACTTTCAGACTCTAATTTAAATTTGTCATATGCACCTATCAAATAAGAAGTTAAAGATGGTGATTGATGGTTTAATTTAGTAACATCTCCTAGTGAGAAATGTATGCAAACCTTTTCACATGCTTCGGACAATATTTCTTGGAGTAAGGCAGAGACGTAAGAAGGAACTATTGCACATTTTATCTCAGCTTCATCAGCTATGTTAATATTTTCATCCTAGATACTGTTCATGATTAACTTTAGATTTTCTTTTTTTCTTTTTCCCCCTGATTCATGAAGTGTTTTATTCATCAAACTGGGAGTCTGCATAACAATACTAGCTGTAGAGAATAGCCAATTCCTCGAAGAAAAGAAAAGAAGGTTCTTTTGGTTGATGTATAGCCAATTCCTCGAAGAAAAGGAATGAAAGTTCTTTTGGTTGATGTTACGGTCAAACACTCCCTATTTAAGTAATTTAGACTTTAGAGAATACTCACGCTTATAATGTTCTTCACCCAAGAAGTGGATGATTGTTTTTATTCTCGCCTCATTATTGTTTTTATGTGCAATAAATATAAGTGGCGCTCCTTTTTTTTAATTTGGATGCCTTTTCCAATCCAAAGCATTGTTCATATGCCTCACTTTTATCATTTGTACTGTTATTCACCCTGGATGTAGATTGTTGTCATTCTTGCCTCATGCTTGTTTTTTATGTGCACTAATAATGCACAGCAGTTTTTTTTTTTTTTTGGCCCCATTTGTATTCCTGTTCCAATTTGTAGCATTGTCCATATGCTCTTCTATCATATATTATCATAAGGTCCCCTAATTCCAACCTTCCATATAAACGTGATTTGGCCTGATGGAATTCAACAATAAATTATGAGTCTGTGCAACATGCATCTATTTGCCTGAAGGAAACTCAATTATAACCTTCCATATTTCCATTATTTGAAGGTTTTGATTAATTTGGCTTCAATGGGTAACACACAAGTAACTGCGCAATCTGAGCAGATAGCACCAGAATCCCCAGCAATCACTCAAGACCTGACTACAAAAGGACCAGAAGCCGATGCAAAGCCGAAGAAGAAAATTTGCTGTGCCTGTCCTGAAACAAAGAAGCTTAGAGATGAATGCATTGTGCAACATGGAGAGAACAAATGCGGTAAATATATTGAAGCCCACAAACAATGCCTACGGGCTGAAGGGTTCAATGTGTGATGATCTTTGGATGATAGTTCAGGCTGATAACAGTTAACTTTTCAGAGATCTTGGATGATTTTTTCCCCCCAAAACGTATACTTGATCTGTTCATCTGTTTGAAGATGTAATGAATAAAAATGCCACAATGTTTTTTTATGGATATGTCTATTGCTTTGTGCATGTACACTGCAGTTTTGTACTGATATCATAGCAGTTCGAGGTTTCTTTCTTTACTTAAAATGTTGGGCTCGCCCACTTATAGAGATTTCTTGATGTTATCTCATAAAATTGCATCTTTTTATGTTTGATGAATTGTGAACATGCTACTGTGAATGACTATCTCATGAAAATTTCATCTTTTCTGTTTGATTAACTGCAAAAAGACTTCTCTGAGATATGTTCATTACTAAGAGTTATGGACATAAATTCGAAAACCAGTGGTAATTTCTGTTACACTTCATGGGACAGTTTTGTTCTTGAAACCAATTCCTTTTTTTTAGGATGTCTATATCATTGATTATGTACCTTCTATTGTTCTGTTAAAAGCTCTTTTTAACGACATTCCTTTTCTAAAAGAATTGTTGCTGGGCGTGTTCTTGAAAGCTGGACTTTTTTGGTGTTTGCTATCGTCTAAAGCCGAAGGAAATGAGGGCGTGCTCCAGAGTTACGACCAGATTGTGCACTTCGATGAAGGGATGGAGTTGTGGCCAGAGTTGGGGATTCCCATTGCCCTCATGAGTAGTACAGAACCGTCCGCATATTGTGATGGAAAATGTGGAGACCATAAGAGTTGTACCTCTCAATTCTCATGTACTGCTAAACATAAAGAAGTAGAGTCCATAACAACTCATAATTTCTCCTTGTAATACAAGAAACGGTTCCACTCTTTTGCGTCTAGTAGTTCGAGAGTGAAGTAACTCTTGTAATGCAGATACCGTTGTTTTCTGAAATCTGTATTCACTCTACGAGTTTGAATCCTATAAGAACACTTTCTTAGCTGAAATTGCCTATGGTCCTCCAATTTGGACGGCTGAGATCGCAACCTATATACTAACAAAAAGAAAAAAAGGGTAATTGAGATTTAAGCCACCTAAATAGATGTTTATGGGGATAATTCACGTTGAGAAGCGTTTTGATAAAATTTGTGTTCTAATTGAACTACAAGACCTAGCCAGACTTGGACCCCTGACTCGGTCGGAACAGTTCCACACGCGCTGATCACGTGATATTGAAATCGAATAGAGCCCCAAATTCTCTCTTTTATAAACCGGCATCCTTCGCACTTTTCAACTCGCGTCGACTTTAAGCAGAGAATTCAGAGCAGAGAGAGAGCGAGAGAGAATGCAGATTTTTGTGAAAACCCTAACGGGGAAGACGATCACTCTCGAGGTTGAGAGCAGCGACACCATCGACAACGTCAAGTCCAAGATCCAGGTCTCTTCTAAATCCTTTTCCCTCTCTTTGTTCCCCAATTTTGTTTGAATCGTCAGCGATTAGTCGGGATCCAGCTGTGATGTGAGGAAAATTGGAGAATTTTTACTGGGGTTTCATCCTAATGTTCTATATTTCTGACTCCTTGGTGAAAATTTTAACTTTTACCGGACGCCGTCATGTGTTCTTGTATCGTGTTTACATAAATAAACCCGAGATTGTTGTTGATGGTAAGGGTGGCAATCCATCAAAGTTTGTAGTGATCAATTCCTGATTTATCGTGAAAATTTGGTTATTTCCTGAATATACGAAAACTCCAATGATAGATTAGATGTACTTAAACAGATATGTGTGACTAGCTAAGCGGTAAAAAATTACCTAGTGTTCATCCCTCCACTTTCAACGGATAACATTGGAGGAGTCGAGAACTTACCACAAGACAATGTTTTAAAACAGCGGTCTAGGCGCTTGCCTATGTGTTGGGGCGCCCAGGGGAGTCGCTTATGCGGATTGCACCGTGTGGGTCATGATTGTGATTTTCTCCGTTTCCGTCTCCACGCCCTCCAGTCTCCTCTGGCCTCCTCCACCAGCTCTGAACACTTACCCCTCCCCTTAAAAAAAGGGAGAGGGAAAAAAAGAAATCCGTCTAGGCCCCGTTTGGGCGCTAGACGTTGGGTTGGTGCCTACCGCTTTTTGTAACATTGCTACGAGAAATCTTTGCTGCTTTTTAGATTACGGATCATTTTTTATTCTAGACATGCATTAAGAAGGCAATAATAGGGAGTAAATCTTTTGTTATAGATTGTCACTGTTAAGATTAAGGAGAACTTTTAATAGAGTGATTTATTTAGGGTTAGGAATATTAATTCCAAATCACATCCATCCACCTATTTATCATAACTTTCAAGATCAAATCCTAATCCTTATTAGTCTGCTAGTCCAAGCCTCGTGCAAGTTGATCCACGAGCCACACTAGGGCTGTGCTCAAATTATCAGTTTTGGTTGAATTTGCCTGGATTCTTAATAGACCCATAATCGTCCTAACCTAATATCATTCATTTGAATGCTTTCCATCAAACAACTTCCTTCATAATTCATTCTTTAGAGTATACTCACCATTAGTTTGCAATTATTAACTAGTAAGATGATATGCATGGTGAAATTCCACCTACAACTTTCCCCTTTATAAGGAGAAGCGTGACAGTACTGAAAATGCTATATTATAAATATATGAATAGAACTAATGGAACATTTATGGGAGAGGGACTAATTTACATCTTGTAAGTAAATGAAATAGGACTGATAGAAATCAGGTCCGACCTGAATCTGAACCAACCCAAATCCAAACACATTAATTTGATAATAATATCAATACTGTTAATTCATAGATACTATAAAGCGAAGCTGTCAGAAAATAGCAGCCAAATATTTCCCAAAATGATAGGAACATTTGAATTTCTATTCTTAAGTTAAATTACGAGTATATGGCTTGCACTGCAGGATAAAGAGGGTATACCTCCTGATCAGCAGAGGCTAATTTTTGCTGGAAAGCAATTGGAAGATGGAAGGACCCTGGCTGATTACAACATACAGAAAGAGTCAACTCTTCATCTAGTTTTGAGGCTTAGAGGAGGAACCATGATCAAGGTGAAAACTCTTACAGGGAAAGAAATCGAAATTGACATCGAACCCACTGATAGCATTGATAGGATCAAGGAAAGGGTTGAAGAGAAAGAAGGGATTCCTCCTGTGCAGCAGAGGTAATGTTTATTCCATCAATTTATTTCAACTTTATGCATGTAAATTTTCTTCTGCCTGTTCTGTTTGCAGGCTAGATTTTGCTAGATTCTTCCATATGCTCATTCTTGTCTTATTATATCTAGTTGTTTAAGTTCTTGATTACCTTGTACGGTAAGAGCAGCCGGGGGACAGTGAAACCTGGTCAAATGCATAAACCATGTTTTTCTTCAATGCTCAATGATTTTTTTTACTTAGTTTCTAATTGAAGATATTATTTTGGATAGGACAAGTTTTTAAAATAAACCCTTTTCAAAAATTATTTAGAAAAAACAACCTAGTTGAATTTTATTTACAAAATTCTATCCACTTTCAGCCACATCACCAAAGTGAGATGAAACAGGGTCGTTTCTTAGAAACCTGTGATTTCGTAGTACACGGGGTTGCCAAACCCGTGTATTTAGCAAATGATACTAATTACACAGGAACAACCCCCAGTGTTTGATGCATATTAGCAATTAAACGGGGTAGCCCGCCTAATAAATATTTTGTCTTTACACTTTCTACAAATTTTGAATGCTGACCAAGTGGTGAGAGGAGCTGACTTTCATTTTTAAGGTCATTGGTTCAAATCCTAACTCCATCAAACTAATATATTTAATTTTTATGTATTTATGATGGCAACTGTGTGATTCGAACACATTCACTCTAAAAAGTTAAACCCTTAATCCAATGCCTTTAACCAACTTAACCAAATTACATTGAAGTAACAGTTTTGGAAAAACAACTATAGTTTGGATCCAAAGTGTATAATCAGTAGAGTTAGTTAATTAAGCCAATATTAATTCATCAACTACTTACATGGGCAACCCCGTTTATCTACAAAACTTGTTAGTTTTAAAAATGACTCAGTTTCAGCACACTCTGCTGATGTGGCTGAAATGGGTCGAATTTTGTGAATAAAATTGCAATAGGTCAATATTTCTAAATTAATTTTGGTCTATTTTAAAATTTTGTCCTTTTGGATATTATATATTACTTTACATCTAACTGCTTATGTGCCTATTTATTATCACTTTTTAGAATAAATTTTTTACAGTTAATTGCCACTATTTCGCTTTCTGCAAGTTTTTTCGTCTTGTCTATCTATTGCTGCAATTTTCTGTTGCATTACTTTGCAATTTGTCTGCTAACTAGTAGAAATCAACTATCTAGCCCTGCTCACCTGCCCCGCCCCGCCCTGCCCCCAACACACAAGTATTCCCTAAAATTAATTAAAAAGAAACATGGGGCAGAAAACTACCATAACCACTGTATGTAGACACGTGGATGGAGATGGTGACCAGAATTTCTACCATGATATTCTGAAGTCCTATTTATGAAATCATTTACTTGGGTTTTGAGCTCCTATCAGCCCAATGATAACTAGACGAACAACATTCTGGGAAAAAGGTAAACTGGCCTTCTTAAATGATATGCACATAATAATTTACTTAATGGAGAGATTGGAACAAGGTAAACTGAATTGATCTCATATTAGTAAGACCAACAGTTAAAAAAAAATTGATGGAGGAGATAGTGATTTACTTAATGGAGGAGATACAGACAAGGTAAACTGATTTTGTCTGCTGTTAGTGACCCCAAGAGAAAAAATATTAATTTATCAAGCAACATATTATGCATAAATAAGAAAAAGTTAGTTTACTCTTATAGTATATAGATCCAAAAAGAACTTGGAATAAAGACTTTGTTGTTGTTGTAGGTTGAAACTGAATTAATTTAAATTTAATATCAAGCAAGCTATAATGTAAATTGATTAATGTATTAATTTGATTTTGCGAACTATTTATAAGAAGTCAAAATATTAAAATTTTACACATCTTGCTATCGCGCGCATGCGGCTGGGTGGGGGGGTGTGGGGGGGTGGGGGGTGGGGGGGAGATGAACCATGGCCCTATTGCGGTGGAGAAATATATAACTCAAGGTCCCTCAGACCAGCTTGGCCACTTCAAATGTTGGGAAAAAGTGGGATATATCTGCGAGAAAGTAATATGGAAGGTGTAATTTTGGAACAAAAAGGCGTATACAAACTGCTCTTAGAAATTAAAATGGGTTTAAGACCTATCACCAAAATCAACTCTTTTTATTATGACATCGATAAATATGGCAGTAGAAGTTAGATTTTCCAGTTTTCTTTTGTTTTATTCGGAACTATATTCTGAGCTTAGGTGTGAGCAGATCCTATCTTTATTGTATGATGTATTATGTGATCTAATCATTTGGATCATCATTACATTCTTCTTGGTTTTCTGGGCCTTCTTTCGGGTTCACAAATTCTGTACATCTTATTCATATATTATAACTGCTCAAAATTGTTAGCACTTATCGACTTTATGGCATCCTACTTCGCATGAAAATATGCCACTGAAGTGCAGCACAATGGTGAAGAAAGACGTAGTGTCACCTAAAACTTCCTACATGAGGCATGATAGAAATAATCTAGAACTTCTATGTGATATCATCTAGAAAATGCTACCAAAGAGAACACCTTGTACGTCCGGAATGATATCTGAAAACAAATATCGATCAGTTTTCCATACAATTGATTCCTAATTTCTTCGAATAATTTGGAAAAAATATGCAATTTCTCTAGCGTCACACACCTTGTTCGCGGAAACCTAACCTTTGACAGATTGTGTAAAAAAAACTAAAAGAATTCATTATTTTGGTCATACATGCCGGATAACATTGCTGGTCTCTTTTACATGATTATTAGGTTACTGCTTCTGATATTGTTGTTTTTTAATTTTTGCTCATCTTTATGTATAGGTTGCCTACTCTTGCTTTCCTAAGCTCTTTACATGTTATAGTGTGACTAATTATATACTCTTGTTTCCCTTTGATTGGATGCAGGCTCATTTATGCAGGCAAGCAGCTCGCTGATGACAAGACTGCCAAGGAATACAACATTGAAGGTGGTTCTGTGCTTCATCTTGTGCTTGCTCTTCGGGGTGGAAGCTATTAATAAAATAACTACCAGTCACAAACTTTCTCAACAAGCGAAAATTGTCAATGTCTGAGTGCTCTTGATATAAAATACCCATGCGACATATTTCTTTCTGTTACATTTTATGGCTGCCAATTATGAACTCACTCGTTTTTTCTTGACTGTCATTGTGAAAAAAGATTCAAAGAAGGCTAAGGATATCAAAAGTTTCTGACAATAGAATTTCGCTCGTCATTTTCTTGGTGATTTATATCCATGAACATGCTTGTTGAGTTATGCCATGCTGCTCTAAATTTGTGTCGTGCCTCCATTTGAGACATACAGCAGTTTGTTGGTCATTAGAGTCAAGATCAGATATGTACCTAAGGAAACAGATACTGATACGGGTGTATCTTCTCTTCGGAACTTAGCGATCCTCATGGGAGCTTGAGGATAGATGATTCTCATACTAGCATGAGAATAGGGGGTGTCAAACAGTATAAGGGAACACAGGAGGAAGCGTGGAACAAGACGACGAGCAGAAGAATCGAAGTACCCAGTTTTCAGCCTGTGAGTCGACTCATGACTGTTATGAGTCAACTCATCAGGTTGAGTCGACTCATGACTGTCATGAGTCGACTCATCGCTGGTTATTGAGATTTCTCCAGTTTCTGTCGAGTCGACTCATCTCAGTCATGAGTCGCCTCATCGAGGGTTTCCTGGTTCGTTTGGGATTCTGTTCACACGAATTCCTGTTGGTTTTGGGTCTGGTTATTTACCAAACTGCCATCCACGTTTGTACTCCACGTTTGTACACCTATATAAGGGGTTGTTTTAGGGTTTCTAAACATCTTTTAGGTCAGAGAGTTTAATCAAGAGAGATTAGATTCTATATTGAGATTTGGAGAGCTTGTTCTTCAATTCTAGAGTGAGATTGTGAGAGAGAGATTGTAATCTTTTGTTCTTCATAATCTAGAGAATGTATTTTCCTTCGCCAAACTGAATTGTTCTTGTGTTTTGGTCGTCCTCTTCTCAACCCACCTTTTGGTAATTCCGCGACCAAAGGGTGCTCGTACGGCAACTCGTATCAAGTTGGTATCAGAGCATCAAATCCTACGAATGGGGCATCCTGTGCATGGTCCTTACTCGATCCCAATACAAGGAGCTTGGCGAGATCATTATTTCATTGGAAGGAGTCCGAGTTTTAAGGAAGAAGAAGATGGCTGAAGGAGACAATTCAACGAGGATTGATGCATTGGAGAAGCAGATCGAGACGATAGGTTCGACTCTCACACAACTCGTCAGTCTTATCCATGGAGGTGGCAAACAAGGTGAATCTTCTTCGAAGAAAATTGTTGAGTCCGATGTGGAAAGAGTAGATTCAGATTCCGACGAGGAGGAGACCATTAAGACTGTATTGCATCAAGGTGGTAAGAATTCTTATCAGAACCTGAAGATTGACTTTAAGGTGGAGATTCCTGTTTATGATGGGAGGTGTCGTGGAACAAGTTCAAGGAGCTACTTAGGAAGCAGTTCTACCCGGTGGGATTCCTTGAAGAACGTTGGTACTAGTGGTATGGCTTGCGCCAAAGGATCAATCAAACCATTCAAGAATACACTACGGAGTTCCAGCAGCAGGCGATGGTCCTTAACATTGCGACAGAGGAATATTCCGTGTTTATGAAGTATATGGCGGGTTTGAGCGATCACATCCGAAAGGAGATGAGGCTATTCACGGTGGAATCAATTGCAGAGGCAAGCGTGAAGGCCATTGCCATTGATGGTAGGCAAAAGAAGGGCAACGAGGCTAAGGGAGACTCCAAACAGACGGGAGGCGAGTCTAGTGGTTCTCAATCTAATGAGGAGAAGAAAAAGGGTGATCCAGGGAAAGCAGGGCTGATTTGTAGTCACTGCGAGAAGACAGGGCACGAAGCTGATCGGTGCTGGGAGAAGTATCCTCATCTCAAGCCAAGAGGGTTGAAGAAGGAGGAAAAAAAGACATACATGATAGCTCAAGGTCCGAAAGAATGCACAGATTCATGCCACGGTTGAAGCACAATTGAAGAAGTCACAAGCAAAATACAAGGCGAAGCATGATCAACATCGGGTTCCTTGTAACTTTGGCGTGGGCGATATGGTGTGGCTGAAATTGAGTAAGGAGAGGCTAAAAGGAGAAGGCAAGAAGTTGAAGCCTATTCGTTATGGTCCGTTTCGGATTCTCGATCAGATTGGCGACAACGCTTTTAGGCTGGATTTGCCGCCTTACTTAGGCATGTATTCGGTGATCAATGCTGAGTACTTGAAGTTGTTTGAGCCTCCATTACTGGATGATGAAGGTGATGACAAGGTGATCTTACCGCATGTTGATGACTTATGGTTTGATAGAGAGGAGCCGCTGAAGGAAGACTGCATTTTGGAGCGAAAGACGACCACGACAAGAAGGGGAATGAAGGAGTCGTTTCTCATTGGACGTCAAGGTCAAGTTCCTAGCAAGGCTAAGTGGTTCAATAAGGAAGGAGGGGCTCGCGAGTTTCCTTAGCTGAAGTTCTAACTTGAACGGGACTTCAAGTTCTTAAAGAGGGGACACATGATACGGGTGTATCTTCTCTTCGGAACTTAGCGATCCTCATGGGAGCTTGAGGATAGATGATTCTCATACTAGCATGAGAATAGGGGGTGTCAAACAGTATAAGGGAACACAGGAGGAAGCGTGGAACAAGACGACGAGCAGAAGAATCGAAGTACCCAGTTTTCAGCCTGTGAGTCGACTCATGACTGTTATGAGTCGACTCATCAGGTTGAGTTGACTCATGACTGTCATGAGTCGACTCATCGCTGGTTATTGAGATTTCTCCAGTTTCTGTCGAGTCGACTCATCTCAGTCATGAGTCGACTCATCGAGGGTTTCCTGGTTCGTTTGGGATTCTGTTCACACGAATTCCTGTTGGTTTTGGGTCTGGTTATTTACCAAACTGCCATCCACGTTTGTACACCTATATAAGGGATTGTTTTAGGGTTTCTAAACATCTTTTAGGTCAGAGAGTTTAATCAAGAGAGATTAGATTCTAGATTGAGATTTGGAGAGCTTGTTCTTCAATTCTAGAGTGAGATTGTGAGAGAGAGATTGTAATCTTTTGTTCTTCATAATCTAGAGAAGGTATTTTCCTTCGCCAAACTGAATTGTTCTTGTGTTTTGGTCGTCCTCTTCTCAACCCACCTTTTGGTAATTCCGCGACCAAAGGGTGCTCGCACGGCAACTCGTATCAGATACAAATATACTAGTGTCAGTGAGCTCGAATCAAAGACCAATATATAACCAGACAGTTTGGAAAACTGGAATCATCAACTTAGTTATGTTTAGCAAACATTTGACATATTCTTACCAAGCCCCCTCTTTCCCGATCATATGGTTGAAATGATAAAATTCTCGAATCAGATTGCCTTGAACTTGTACTCATGATGCATTGATGCATTGGGTGATCACCTATACCACCCACATCGCCTTGCGGGTGTCTTGGGTAAAGTTTAGAGCCTCTTCAAGTGGTTCAACTCTTGACATGTCTTGACATGTTAGCTATGTTTGTTGTGCGGGCAACATTTGCACGCACAACCTCATTTGCTTGTGCGCACAACCCAGCTCAGTTTACATATAGATAAAAATACACCTTATCCTCGGATGTTGCACGCACAACCTCGTTTGCTTGTGCGCATGTGAACAGGGGTGTTTATGTGGGGGCCACACCTCTACGTGTGCATGAGGAGCTTTGCCCAATTCCAGCGGGTAAAAGCCAAGGCCCATTTATTAGGCTTATAACCGCATCAATCTCCTATATAAGCCTAATGTCCCTAGGGTTTTCGGCTGTGTGGGAAATCAAAACGCAAGGGAACAGTGGCTTGGTGAAAAGCTGCTGGGAAAAATCGCAAAAGTCAGAGAGGGATTTTGTTTTCTTTTGGCGGCTGAGCAGAGGGAATTGCTGGTGTTTGTTGAGAGAAAAAGAGAGATTTTGAGGAGAGAAAAAGAGGGATTTACAAAAGAGAGGTTAATTTCTTTTGGGTAAAAATTAGATTTTTTTCTTTCAGACGAGCTTGTGGATTGTACAAGTCGTCGGTGTTCTTCTCATAGTGGAATCTCCCCTCACCCCTCCCGTGGACGTAGGCAAGTTTGTCGAACCACGTAAATCTCGTGTATTTACTGTTTTTTGGGTTGTTGGCTATTGCTTGTAGGATCCCAACAATTGGTATCAGAGCTGTTATTCAGATTGGGAGTGGTGTAGCTTCTGATTTGAGGTGGTGCTCGGCAATTTCCTGAGAGAAGCGGATTTGCTAATACAAGCGAAGAATGGCGTCAACAAGTAAAACAGTTAAAGTGGGAAAATACGAGATTGAAAAATTCAATGGGAAGAATGATTTTTCCTATTGGAGGATGCAGATGAAGAACACGTTGATTTCGCAGAAATTGCACAAAGCTTTGGCGGGAAAAGAGAAGAAGCACAAGGATATGTCTGATGAGGATTGGGAGGAGCTGGATCTGGAAGCACGGGCGTCGATTATCCTTTGCCTTGAAAGGGATGTAGCTTTTTTGGTAGATGGAGAGGAAACGGCTGCGGGCGTGTGGTCGAAGTTAGAAACCACCTTCATGACGAAGAGTCTAACGAACCGGATCTATTTAAAATCCAAATTGTATACTTGCAAGATGGAGGAGAGCTCATCAATCCGGGAATACATCAACAAGTTTGATAGGATTATATCGGACCTGAAGGACATCGATGTGACTGTAGAAGACGAGGATCAGGCGCTTCTACTACTTCTATCTTTGCCGAAGTCTTATGAGAACCTGGTGCAAACACTGATGCTTGTGGGAGACAATTTGACGATGGATGAGACTAGAACGGCGCTTCTAGCAGATGACCTTCGGAAGATTGCAACCAGTGACATGACTACTGGTGGTAACAAAGAACTAGCGCAGGGATTGTTTGCTAGAGGAAGGAGCAATGAGCGAGGAAAAGGCAAGGGAGGAAAGTCTAGATCTAAATCGAGACCCCTTGCGGGACGAGCGTGCTTCAAATGCGGTGAAGTTGGGCATTTCAAGGTCGACTGTCCTAACAAGAGAGTAGGTGGGAAAAAGAACAACAACAAGACCGAGAGAAGAGAAGGCAAGGAAGAGGCGAGTTACGCATCGGAGGAAGGGAGCGATAAAGAATGCTATGTTGTTACGGGTAGCGAGGATACCTCCGGGAAGTGGATTCTTGATTCTGGTTGCTCTTACCATATGTGTCCAAATAGGAAGTGGTTTACTACCTACAGGAGCATTGATGGTGGAACCGTATTGATGGGGAACAACCATGCTTGTAAAACGGTGGGGCTAGGTGATATCAAAATCAAGATGCATGATGGAGTGGTTCGAACTCTAACGGACGTGCGGCACGTTCCCGCCTTGCGGAAGAATCTTATCTCAGTGGGTGCATTGGACTCCGATGGCTGCAAGATTGTTACAGAGAACGGAGTGAAGAAGGTTGTTCGAGGTTCCCTAACAGTGATGAAGGGTGTTCGTCACGGTAATCTATATACTCTCTCGGGTACGACGGTGACAGGAGATGCAGCGGTTGGAACTGAAGGAAGTGGTGGAGACCCATGTGAGCACGAAGTTAGAAAGCACCTTCATGACGAAGAGTCTAACGAACCGGATCTATTTAAAATCCAAATTGTATACTTGCAAGATGGAGGAGGGCTCATCACTCCGGGAATACATCAACAAGTTCGATAGGATAATATCGGATTTGAAGGACATCGATGTGACTGTAGAAGACGAGGATCAGGCGCTTCTACTACTTCTATCTCTGCCGAAGTCTTATGAGAACCTGGTGCAAACACTGATGCTTGTGGGAGACAATTTGACGATGGATGAGACTAGAACGGCGCTTCTAGCAGATGACCTTCGGAAGATTGCAACCAGTGACATGACTACTGGTGGTAACAAAGAACAAGCGCAGGGATTGTTTGCTAGAGGAAGGAGCAATGAGCGAGGAAAAGGCAAGGGAGGAAAGTCTAGATCTAAATCGAGACCTCTTGCGGGAAGAGTGTGCTTCAAATGCGGTGAAGTTGGGCATTTCAAGGTCGACTGTCCAAACAAGAGAGTAGGTGGGAAAAAGAACAACAACAAGACTGAGAGAAGAGAAGGCAAGGAAGAGGCGAGTTACGCATCGGAGGAAGGGAGCGATAAAGAATGCTATGTTGTTACGGGTAGCGAGGATACCTCCCGGGAGGGGATACTTGATTCAGGTTGCTCTTACCACATGTGCCCAAATAGGAAGTGGTTTACTACCTATAGGAGCATTGATGGTGGAACTGTATTGCAAACGGTGGGGCTAGGTGATATCAAAATCAAGATGCATGATGGAGTGGTTCGAACTCTAACGGACGTGCGGCACGTTCCCGCCTTGCGGAAGAATCTTATCTCAGTGGGTGCATTGGACTCCGGTGGCTGCAAGATTGTTACAGAGAACGGAGTGAAGAAGGTTATTTGAGGTTCCCTAACAGTGATGAAGGGTGTTCGTCACGGAAATCTATATACTCTCTCGGGTACGACGGTGACAGGAGATGCAGCGGTTGGAACTGAAGGAAGTGGTGGAGACCCATGTGAGCACACACGGTTATGGCATAGGCGGCTTGGGCACATGTCAGAGAAGGGTCTAGTTCTGCTTGGTAAGGAGGGTTTGCTGAAGAATCTGAAGAAACCTTGCATGGATTTTTGCGAGGATTCTATTCGGGTGCTATTGAGTATTGTTACTCATGGTGATCTTGAGCTGGAACAACTCGATGTTAAAACGGCCTTCTTGCACGGAGACTTGGATGAAGAGATCTACATGCATCAACCTGAGGGTTACAAGGTTGAGGATAAGGAGCATCATGTATGTCGCTTGAGGAAGTCACTCTATGGACTGAAGCAATCTCCTCGGCAGTGGTACAAGCGATTTAACTCCTTCATGTTGAAGCATGGGTTTTCCTGAAGCGATTATGATTGCTGTGTTTACATTCAGAAGCTTCGTGGAGGTGATTATATTTATCTCCTTTTGTATGTGGATGACATGCTTATTGCTTCTAAGAGCGGGGTGGAGATAGATAGGTTGAAATCTCAACTTGGTAAAGAGTTCGAGATGAATGACATGGGCGCTGCTAGAAAAATACTGGGTATGGAGATTAGAAGAGAACGGGAGAATCGGCGATTGTTCTTGAGTCAGAAGGGCTATATAGAGCGGGTGATCGCGAGGTTCGGGATGCAAAGTGCTAAGTCGGTGGCGACTCCATTGGCTCCACACTTCAGACTTTCAAGTAAACAATCTCCCACTACAGCGGAAGATAAGGCACACATGGAGCGTGTTCCTTATGCTAGTGCAGTTGGCAGTTTGATGTACGCCATGGTGTGTACACGTCCAGATATTTCACAAGCGGTTAGTGTGGTCAGCAGGTTCATGGCGAATCCGGGAAAGGCGCACTGGGAAGCAGTGAAATGGGTCCTGAGGTACTTAAAAGGTACCGCAGATACGGGTCTGTGTTTTGCTGAAGATACATGTCAGTTTGACGGGTTTGTTCACTCTGATTATGCGGGAGATCTAGATAGACGGCGATCTACTACTTGGTTGTGGGGTCTTCTAGATGATTTGGGGATTGAGCAGGAAAACGTGAACTTGTGGTGCGACAGTCAGAGTGCAATTCACTTGGCGAAGAATCAAGTTCATCATGCTCGTACCAAGCATATTGATGTCAGGTATCATTTTGTGCGGGATGTCATAGAGGAAGGTGATATTTCTCTCATGAAGGTGCACACGAATGAGAATCCAGCAGACATGTTGACCAAGGTGGTCACAGGTAGCAAGTTTAAGCATTGCTTGGACTTGCTTCATATCAGCCCGTGTTGATCTGCCCAAGAGGGCATGACCCTTCGGGGCGGTGATGGGGTGAGGTGGAGACTATATGGAGAACAAATCCTGAACTACGGTTAGCTTGATCCCGATGGAGGGTACGTAGGCAGCAACGGTAAAGTGGCGCAGCTGGTTTGGCCTGGTTTGGCTGATGGTGATCTCTCTGGTGATGTTCGCGGTGTTCTTCTGGTGTTCGTCCAAAATTTGAGGTTTATCAAATGATGTACGAGGTGGAGAATTGTGAACAGGGGTGTTTATGTGGGGGCCACACCTCTACGTGTGCATGAGGAGCTTTGCCCAATTCCAGCGGGTAAAAGCCAAGGCCCATTTATTAGGCTTATAACCGCATCAATCTCCTATATAAGCCTAATGTCCCTAGGGTTTTCGGCTGTGTGGGAAATCAAAACGCAAGGGAACAGCGGCTTGGTGAAAAGCTGCTGGGAAAAATCGCAAAAGTCAGAGAGGGATTTTGTTTTCTTTTGGCGGCTGAGCAGAGGGAATTGCTGGTGTTTGTTGAGAGAAAAAGAGAGATTTTGAGGAGAGAAAAAGAGGGATTTACAAAAGAGAGGTTAATTTCTTTTGGGTAAAAATTAGATTTTTTTTCTTTCAGACGAGCTTGTGGATTGTACAAGTCGTCGGTGTTCTTCTCATAGTGGAATCTCCCCTCAGCCCTCCCGTGGACGTAGGCAAGTTTGCCGAACCACGTAAATCTCGTGTATTTACTGTTTTCTGGGTTGTTGGCTATTGCTTGTAGGATCCCTCAAAATTCGGTCTTAGAGCTGATGAGAGGAAGAATGTATATTTCACTTTGATAAAATATATCACTTTCGATTCTTGTTTCCTTTGAGAAACAAGAATATAGAGGTTGACTTGTGCTTTTGTGACAACAAAAGCCAGGGCTTTCTCTCAGTTGATATCGCTTCCGCGGCGGTGGGCGTGACTCTGCGCCCAACAGCGCACAACCCAGCTCGGTTTACATATAGATATAAATATACCTTATCCTCGGATGCTAGTGATGGTCCGGACCATATCCACACCCAAAATTTTCTTGATGCTTGCAATAGAATCTTCTGATCCCTTAAAGTAAAAAATCGAAAGTCAGAAATAAAAAACAAATGAAGTTCATGGCTAACCATTTTGAACACAGAATCAAGATCCCATTAAAGCTGATACCATATTCTTTCGATAACAAAATAAACTGAAAGACTGCGTTACACTGACTAGACTAGAATTAGAAGACGATAATGGTACAAGATCACTGTAATTGTAAACTGCTTACAAAAAACAAAGAAAAAAAAAAGAACAATTAGAACAACAGACTAAGTTCAATCACCATCCAAACCCCTTACAATTCCCCTTCTGTACAGTTAGAAACCACCACATTCTTTCTCATGAAACAGAATGCCTTCTATTATTCCTCGATGAAGAACCAGAAGACTTACTAGCATCTAGGGGATTAGCGGATGATGAAGGAGGGCTCTGAGAACTTCCGGAAGTCTCTGAGCTCCTATTATTCTCTCCTTGCCCTTTACCTGACCACAGCTTGTCAAATATCCTCCTCGATCTCGAAGGCAATAGAAGCCCACCGCCAATTTTGTTCTTGGAATTGGTATTGTTGTTATCCTCTATTTTTACAGTCTTGAGCTGTTTCTTTATAGACTTGTATTCTTCTGGAGCTGGTCTCTCCCAGTGCTCTTCTATGTTTGCTGATGTGGTTCGTGCACTTCCATGAGAGTTCTCATTGGTAATTGCTGCTGCTGACGCCCTCAGTTGCTCGAAAAAGAGGACTTGAACAACTACTCGAAGAGGTAGGCGATCGTTTTGAGCTGCGTGGATGGATGCTTCAGGGGATAGTTTCTTGACGTCCATCAGACAGCAAATACTCCTTTTTTCAGCTTTCGGCAGATTTGGATGTTCCTGTTTAAGATGAAATAAGAAGGTTGTTAAATATTGAAAGCTACAGGGAAATCAATTACAATATGGATATAGGTTTACATGTAAGAACTATTAATAATTTTCTAGGAACTTTCGTGACAACATAGAATTTATAGGCAGAGTTAAATTTGTTGAGCAACAAAGAAAATTCTTTTGTCTAAAACCATTACCAGCAATTCAAATAGCCCATTTAAGTAGTTTGGACTTTTGTTCATATATGTTAGGATAACAAACATTAACTAGCATGTACCCTAAACAAGAAAATGAAACTCTACTTTCTAATTCAAGTGTGTTCCGATAAAAGAGAAACATCTAATTACTAAACTGGAAGTACCTTTGTCATTGAGTAAAAGATCCAACATTTCCTAAGAAAATTCAGGATTTCTGATGCCATCATAAAATATTAATGCAACCCCACACAGAGTAGACACTACAGCATCCCAAAGTTCTTCAAATTCAATGGACATGAAAGTGAAATTTCCAGGAAGAACTATATTTCTCAGTAGTTTCAATGCCGTACTTAATCAGGAACACGTGACAAACACAATAACAAGGTCAATCATCATAGACAAGTCAGTCAATGAAATCCACCACATGTTACCAAATAAAAAGACGAGGTAGATAAACAATACTAACAAAGATAGTACAGCGATCAGACACGAGTGAGAAGGAAAACCACAAACAAAATATCTTAAAAAATAATCATAAACAATCCTAAACATGAAAAACGCCATAATATTCTAAGAACTAATGAAAGAAACAAGAGAACATATATGTGTGCGCTACACACAGCATACCTTTAGATAGATGTCAATTGCTGTGTACAGGCCATCATGAACAGGTCGTGCCACTGCAGGAAGCAACGTTGACAACCCAATGAAACTAGATATCGGAAGATTAGGGTCACTTGCTATCTCAGCAAGATACCCATCTATCAATTTACCTAAATTCAGCAAAGATGCATGCCCCAAAATATATTCACCCTTCTGTTGCTCGCTTTCAATAATATCAGGATCATGAGCAGGGCCCTCTTGTACCAAAAATCTAGTAACAAGGCTTCTCACTAAATCTATATCATAAAGAGTGTCACCATTTGCTCTCGTTGGAATCAGTAGATCCTTTACCGAAGCTTTATGCAACTGTGAGCTTATCCTATTCATTAGCTCTTCCTTCAAAAGATCGCCAGCTTCCACCAATATAACAATCTTCAATAATTTTAACAAGAATCTACATGAACAACCTGAACTCTTGTCCTTTGGTAATAGCCAAATGAGGGTTTCGACCAGAGACTTGTTTCTTATCATGTAATCATCAGAAACTAGAGCATCATATGAATCCGGCAACCATCTAACTGCATAAGCCTTTAGTGCCTCTCCTATTAGCTCAGGAGACATCCTTCCTTTAGACTTGATAGCAACCATTACTCTCTTGTAGAGATCAACATCCAACTCACAGATGTCCTCAACCCACCAATCCTTTGGAACCACATGGGTCTTATTTGGATAGAGTTCAACAATTTGATTGGTTGATCTTTTGCTATACGTATAGGACCAGTTGACAAGAGAAGGATCAACAGATGTTTTAGAGGCAATTGAATCTATGCATCTCCCAACAATCTTCAGCTCCTCAGACCAGGGTAATAAAGACTTTGTCGTTTGTAAAACGATGATAGAATCTTTCCAGCTTCGGAACACACTAGAGTTTAGAAAAACTTCGATTTTATAAATCAAATTCCCTTTTTCAACATCTTCGGTCATTTCTAAGTACTCTGCTGCACATCGAGCAGCAACAACATTATAGGCATTGAGAGTAACAGTCATGCCATAGCAGAACTTAGCGCATATCTCAAAGGCTTTTGGTCCACCAGGAAAATCACTGATGTAGACTTCATCCGTGCCATCTTCACTAGCCTCGTGAACTAGTTTCTGAAGACGATAACTCTTGGATAAAAGAGGAAACTGCAAACACAAATTGGATTCAGAGTGAGCATTAGATGGCAGTCAAAAAGTGGAGAATTTGCTACTAAATTGTGCATTTTGGCTCTCTTTTATGCTTGAATCTATGTGTGTATGTGTTGTGGAGCCATGAAATTATAATGAAGAACACTTCAATTCTTAAGAAATCCAGATTGGTTGTCCATCACCGCACCTCATGCATGTTTAGCTAGAAATAAGTGGTACAAACGTGAAGTATTTTGTCTATCTGCTATTAAAAGGGAAAGGACCAAAAAATGAAGGAGATTGTACACATTGTATTTTTTTTCCTTTTTCTAAAACAAACTTGGTGGGAATTATTATCAGATTCTATTCACATGAGGAAATGAAAAAAAAAGCATGGCATTCAATGAAAAGGATTTTTTCTGATATCAAGATAACCCCAGAGATGATTGATAATTGGTCCAGAATAGAAGTTCAATCCCACTAACTTGTAAACAACTTGACTAACCACATTAAAGAACAAACCTTGTGTAGATGAAATTTCACGTCCCCAACACATATAATGACATCAGTTGCAAGATCAGATGCCACAAATCTGCACAATTAATCATCCATTGTAAGTGTCACGTCACTGTTACATTAGAATAGAATAATGTATCATTGCAAAGCTAAAAGTTGTATTTGGGGAAGCGATAGCCTGGCAATTAGAGGCAAATAAGTGAATAACATGAATTATCCTTACAACATATCATCCACAATGTTTCCTATATAATAGCAGAAGAAACCAGAAGTAAGAACTGGAAGTTATTCTTGACGGTATAAAGGAAGCAGCTATTAAACAAGACGTGAATAACTTCATTTCCTAGAATTTACATTACCTAATATGAAATTTTAAAACCATAAAATGATAAAAGTATCACTGAGTTGAAGGCAAATCAATTGGAGAGGGAAATAGATGCTTATAAGTGAGGCAAAGTAGATGGGACTCACTTTCATTGTGATGATATAGATTGCTGACACTGCAACAGAAACTATTTTTGTTCCTTTAACTTTAAGACGCAATAAACATCAGCAAACAAAGACAGACAAAAGATGCCACAACGGCGTTTTGTGTGCATTGACATCTTACATGGTGCAGGTCCTATCCGTGTTTGATAGCCTCCACACACACAGCCTAACCCCAGATGAACTTGAGGTGATCAGATAAAACCATGGGCACAGACTATATCAAGTATTTTTGGCTAAAAACGATACCTTTTCCCTAGCATAATGAATTACTTAAAATGTTTTTTGGACAAAGCAGATAACGAAAGAAACTTCTTGATAGCTGAAACTTAACTATGACAGATGCTTGCTTTCTCAGTCCATGGACCAAATAATCACTTGAATTGTGTATGGCAGTTTTTGTGCGATATTCTTTGCTGAATTCAGGGAACACACGGTGCAGATGCACTACCCTTAAGCCAAACTTCGGGCTAAAATATTTTTGTTGATGAGCTGGTGAAATATTTTTACAGTCACAAAAGTAGGACCACACATTATGCCCGAATCAGCAAAGTTTGCTAGCACATAGAGCCCTAAATAAATCACACCAACAAGATGCATAGTAGCCTTTGTCTACTAAGAAAGGTAATAAACCATCATATTTATCTGTATTACTCAATGAGAATACTCATAATATCTAAGACGAAAATTTTAGCATTTTCAGTATTTTCAGTAATATATCCTTCAATGTGTATTAATTTGAGGTACCGAACCAAAAAAATATGAACACCTTCCTCCGCATTACAAATCAGAATTTCAAATGTTATGCTAATATTCATAGTCATAGCTAGATCACTTACCCTCATCAAAGTTCCCCAAAAAAAAGGGAGGAAAGAAGGAAAGAAAACAACACTAGAGTCTGAGACTGCTTACAGCCTAAACTAACACTGGGGGAAAAAAACAGGAAAATGGGCAGCAATGTTACAACAACTGTTCCATGAAAGAAAAAGCGAGCATTAATGCCATAACTGTGCCAAGTCTACAATAATTCTGAAAACTCCAAAAATAGTCCCATGATTCCTCTGTAAATTTTAGCACAGAATAGCAGCAAAAGCTCTGCCCTTCAGACATCCACATTAACAGAGAACAAACCAAGATGCTCTCACCCATGCAAATAGAGAAAAACATTTGTTAAATAAAATAAAACTTTTTTTTTTCTTTTTGCTCGAAAACAATTCCAAAGAGTGCGGGGGGTAAAGAGTTAGATTTCTACTCTCAGAAAAGACAAGACAAAACGGCAGAGACCCATCTCCCCTTGTTTCCTGCTGGACACCACAATTTCCTAGTACATTTCATATTCACAAAGCCCACAAAAGAAATTCCTGAAGCTTTGAAAAAAAAACAGAAAAAAAAAACATTCAGAGGGAAAGACAGAAGGGGGAGAAGAGACAAGGGAACAGAGACAAAACTCCGGAAAGTTTATTCGTTAGCAACAGAGTGCCAAAATTTCTCCCAAAGTTCTCATCTCACCTAAGAAAATGGCTAAAAAGAAATAAAAAACAGAGAAAATAAAGCAAAAAAAATGAGATTTGGGCAATTACCCATTACCCACCAACCCATAACAAATCATGAACAACCACATGCAACAACAAAAACTCGTTTTTTTTTTCCTAAAAAAAATTAAACATACTCACCTAACGTCATTCCCTTCCGTTAGAAACGCATCAGGCTTCGATCCCAGCTTCATAAACTTCATCTTTCTTCCCTCAAATTCAACAAAACTCTCAAACCCAACTCTCCATTCTCTCTCCCAACCGAAACCCACCAACCTTTTTTAGTTTCTCTCTCTAAAATTCTCCGTCCTAGAGCCTTCTCTCTCTCTCTCTCTTCTAGAAACAAAGGGTAGAAGGAACGTCAGCCCAAATAAAAACAGGGGTAGAAAAAAAGGAAAATACGGGGTCTTGTGATGATTATTGCAATGTTTTTCTTTCTCTCTCTCTCTCTCTGAAGAATATAAAAGATTTTCGAGGAGAGAGGAGTCGACGCAGCAGCTGCTGATATTGTTGTTGCCTGCTGAGGTCGCTTTCGGTGGTGCGGCGCTGTGCAGAGCCTTAATAACTGTTGCACCCACAAATGAACCCAACTTTTTTTTTTATTTCTTTCCTCTTTTTTCTTCTTCTTTTATGTGAGATTTGAGATTGAGATCCCTTTTTAGTTGTTGAAGCCTCCTTTTAATGGCGGGGGAGAATGAGAAAAAAGGCTACTTTCTCACTCTTCTTCTTCTTGCGGTCAGTGGGGGACCAAGAGAGGACTTTCTGCTGGTCATAGCCTAAAAGCCTGCTAATCACAAAACCGGGTCGATTTTGATAAATAAAAAAAAACAGTCGGTTTTGAAAAAAAAAAAAAAAAATTCAGTCGGTTTTGAAAAATTGTTCCCTAAAATAATTAGTTATGGGATTAAAAAAGTATATATTCTTTCGTTTTGGGATTAGGACTTTTACATCTTGGTCCCTGACAATGTGCCCTATAGCGTGCTCGGCACTTGAAAACTTACATTTTACCCGCTGGGGTCCGTAAGAATGATTGGTTTGGTTTGGTTTGCTCCTTCTTGCTGTATGGACCCTGTTCGAATCACTTTGTTGTTTCTCTTATTAAAGTCAGGATGAATTTGAGAACGGACACGTCAATATATTATGTATGAAAGTAGCCTATCTCGACGAGACAACACCGTACAGATTGACAGATTTTTAAAATCACATCAATATCACTGATGTTTGGCAGAAATCTAAAAATAGTCAGCATTTAGCTTATTTTTAGTAAAAAAGTTGGAGTCTATTTAGATTAGAAAATAAATTCAATTTTGATCCGCATTGGACTGATTTGTTTGTTCTATTATAGAAAGTCCTTTTAGAGTAAGATTTGATATTTTTAATTTCTATATAAGTCTAGTCTCCTTATCCACGAAGGAAATATAATAAAAGAAAACCTATTGATAGAAGTAATCTAATAATTTTAGGGTTACATGTCTCTTCTTAAATAGACAAATAAAATAGACTCATAATAATACTAGAATTATTAAAAACAAATAGAATGTATCAAATCCCACCCTAAAAAATACTCCATATAATAGAGGAAACAAATCAGTCCAACATGAATTAAAATTGAATTTATTTTCTAATCTAAATAGACTCTAATTTTATTACTAAAAATAAAGTAAATGCCGACTATTTTTAGATCTTGTCAAAAAAAGGGTACTACTAATGTGATTTTGGAAATTTGTCAATCTGAATGAGTTCTTCTAGTTGAGATAGGCATCTTTCACATATAGTATGTGAGAATTCACCTTCCGAATTGTGAGATAAGGTCATATTTTTTAGAACAAGTTAATAATTCATCTATATCTGTCTTTAACTCATGAACATCTTAATTGTCCATGAATTCGCTCGTTATACGTCATATGTCAGTCTCCCTTTGTTGAAAGAGGCTCGACCCTGAGCTTATATTTGTTTAAATTGTAGTTTTTTTTATAAACACTTTTCTTCTCCTGTGTCCATCAACATCCTCCTCGTACTTAGCATCGATTTTTTCCATATTTTCTTTTACCTCCTAGGCTAAGACTTCTTCTGAATCATACTTCTGTATGAATATTTCTCACACCGTGCGTATGTAACTGGGGGCATATGGATCTGTAATTGATTTTTTAAAAAACTCTTCCAAATATGTTCCTTATTGCTTCCCACATTCTAGTGCCAGAAACATCATATCAACATTGTTGTACTCATTGACAATTATTGTTTTTAAAAAGAATTTTCCTCATACTCTATCCCCAATTCTTTCATCTATTTTACTATGAATCCTCTGCCAGAAAAGTTACACATATCATCAATTGTCTCGCTCTCTATTCTACCATTCCCCTCAATCGTAACAACATCAGCAGCTATAATTTCACTCACGGTAGCTTCAGAAATTTCATTTATAATATCCATCTTCATTGATATGTCACCGCCCACACCAAGAATCTTAGTTGCATCAGTGGTTTTCACCTTAGAAGGAATCTCGGTAGATGTGGTTCTTCTTTTCCGGATACAAATCTTCAAGTCTTCTGTGACAGTCTCATTATCTATTACCAAAAGTTTATTCTTTTCAGTAGTCTCGATCTTGGATGGCTCCATTCATATAAATTTAACTCAGTCGCAACTCTAATTATGGTTATATAATCAGAGCTACATTGTTGTTGCTTGATTGTACGTTATAGTCATATGAACTTAACTCACACAATTGTAGCTCTGATTATAGCTATATAAACTCAACTATATATAGTTGTTATAGTTGCAGTTGCAATATCAATACAGAGAACCAAAATAGTTTTTTCAGGGCTAAACACAAGATTTTATTGATTGAAAACAATTACATCGTTGTGCACGAACTCCGCCGTAGCAAGCGGAACTTCCTCCATTCATATAACAACTTCTCAAGGTGAGAGGCAAGTTTTGCTAAAGCATGAGCAACTTTGTTGTTATCTCGACGAACATTAGCTAAAGAAAAGAAATTCAATCTACTAAGAGGCTTTAAAGTTTCACCCACTAACAATCCCATTTCGCCATCAGTGTCCTTAGATTTTAGGAGCTTAATGAGTTGGATAGAATCGGACTCAATTTCTAATATAGTAAAACATGCTTGCAAGGCTATATCCAAACTCCTTCTTATACTAATTGCTTCAGCTACCAATACATTTGTCATTGGTCCCATTTTCTTGAACCTGCTACCATGACCTTCCCCTTAAATTTTTGAATGGCCATGCCCACCTCTAAACATTACAACCTACTAAAAATTACCGCGTCCGTATTCAATTTTTTTTGTCACCATTTGATGGAGGTTTTCATATGATCACACCACGTGGGTTTGAGAATGTAGGGGGTGCGATAATGGATGACTCTTTGGCCTCAGGGGGTGTTTGGTTAGGGTATTTTATGGAAAAGTTTTGAGAAAAGTTCTGACAATGGCAGTTTCATAAATAAAAAATTTCTCACCATTTCCATAAACGGTGTTTGGTTCAACCTTTAATTTACAGAAAACTTTTCTGTAAAGTATAAAAACTGTATAATTTTACATAAAATATTTTCTACTAAAAATGAGTGAAAAACACCCAAAAATCTTACACACCCATTATTATATTATTTAACCTACCCCCTAACCACAGGTCCACCCCCAATTGAATGGAAAACTTTTATTTTGTCTGTCGTAATTCGGAAAAAATCCTAGGGCATCCTCATTCATTCTCACCCCCAAACCCATTCTCCTGATCTCATTGTCGATTATTCCCGCCCCCAAACCGCTTTCGTCGGCGTTCTAGGGCTTGGCCCTTCGTTCCCGCCCTCAAACCAGTCTTGAGCGCTCGAGGTTTCCTTACATTGAGCTCTCGTCGTCGATTATTCCAGCCCCCAAACCCATTCCTTCTTCCTCCGTTCATCGTCGACGTTCTAGGGCTTCGCCCTTCGTTCCCGCCCATAAACCAGATTCTAGGACTCAAGATTTCCTTACCTCGAGCTCTCGTCCTCAGCATTCTTGCGGCTACTTTGGGTTCCTTGGCATTCTTGCGGCTGTTTTTTGGTAATAATGCTGATTTCGAGCTTGTTTAGATCTATGTTGTGGAGTTTTTGGTTGATACTTGTACTCGTTGTCGAGCTGTTACAGCTATGTTTTGGTTACAATGATGATTTCGAGCTTGTTTAGCTCTATGATGTGGAGTTTTTGGGTTGATACTTGTGCTCGTTGTCGAGCTGTTGCGACTGTTTTTTTGTTACAATGCTGATTTTGAGCTTGTTTAGCTCTATATTGTGGAGTTTTTTGTTGATACTTGTGCTCGTTGTCGAGCTGTTGCGTCTGTTTTTTGTTACAATGCTGATTTTGAGCTTGTTTAGCTCTATGTTGTGGAGTTTTTGAGTTAATGCTTGTGCTCAATTGTCGAGCTGTTGCGGTTGTTTTTTGTTACAATGCTGATTTCGAGCTTGTTTAGCTCTATGTTGTGGAGGTTTTGAGTTGATACTTGTGCTCGTTGTCGAGCTGTTGCAACTGTTTTTTGTTACAATACTGATTTCGAGGTTGTTTAGCTCTATGTTGTGGAGTTTTTGGTAGATACTTGTGCTCGTTGTCGAGCCGTTGTGGCTATTTTTTGGTTATAATGCTAATTTGGAGCTTGTTTAGCTCTATGTTGTGGATTTTTTGGTTGATACTCGTGATCGTAGTAGAGCTGTTGCGGCTGTTTTTTTGTTACTATGCCGATTTCGAGCTTGTTTAGCTCTATGTTGTGGAGTTCTTGCTTTTACCAATGATGATGGTCAATTAAATAAGATTGCAAACTAATTTATAATGTTCATAATAAGATAAGTCGTTCTTTACTACGTTATTGGAACACAATCTACGTGAACTTGTTCGTTTCAGTTGAGGCAATCAATTTTGATAAACCATTAGCTGAGCCAAATTTCTTCATGAAAATATCAAATTACGCGCATGAAATTTTCAAAGTGATACATGATTTATTTATAACATTAATTTTGATCTAACCAAATTAAATAAACTTCTAGTCCACAATGCTGGCTAATCACCTCTTTACCCATGTTGGGCACAAACCCATTGTTACCAATATCTTGCACGTGAGTTAAGAGATTATTCATATTCCAATTTGTGTAGGGGATATCATTGCAATAGGAACACTTCCACCACCCGTTTTGGTCTCTAACTTTCAAAGCATTGGCTCTTAGTATTATTTTCGCTTCTTCCATTATATCCCACATCTCATCACGCTCTCGATCTTCATCTGTATATGAAAATAATTCTTCATATGTTGGTTTCTGTGATATTTTTCCGAGCATGCTGATTACAAAAAAAGAAAAAACAGACTCTGATCACTGTAAAAATATAAATAGAATTCGTAGTTTTCTCTAACCAAAATACATACATTTGTATTTAATAACTTGATGAGTCACTACGGTCTCTAACACTCTTACTCATGTTTTTTAATTGTCAAATTTTTGTGTTCATGGATAGTTGAGGATAAAATGATTTTATAAGATTTGAGAATGTAAAAGTAGCCGTTATAAAGTGATAAATATAGTAATTGACACTTTTCTATATATTTAGCATATGTAACCAAACAAAAAAAAAGGAAAACTTGACATTTCTATAACCTAATGAGCCTCATTTTCTTGTTTTGAACCAAACAAACAAAATACAAAAATAAGAAAATTTGTACCTTTTGACTTCTCAAAACTTTTCTTATAATCTT